TCAAGAGGGATATTCAATTATTCTTTTCGATAAGCTTCTTCCACACGGTCGCTCGTGGTTATAGTATGGCTTTCCACAGACGGGGTCAATCTGTTGACTCTAAAATATGTTGCCAATAGATACCGGATCCACCCGCGCGTACGTAAGCTTGGTCTAACACGCTAAAACACGTTGACAGTCTAAAACGGACAGATCAAGGGCGTGGGAGTAGCTTAATGACGCGGGATGATGACGTTCGGAATCCAACGAGATGTTCGTAGACCGATTGTACAATAATTACCAATCGATGTTTGTAAATGTGTATGTGAAAATGTGTAAACTCGTATTATGTTGCAAGATAATAAGAGAGATTTGAGTAAAGTGTTGTTTCTTGTATTGATTATTGCATTACCCTTGTGAGAGATACATGGAGAGTATTTATAGTATTAAAACTTAGATCGTGGCCCTTGGTTGGGAGTACACGTGGCCTCATCTTGTAAGTTTACATGTCCAATTATAGATGTCAGATTTGACTTCCTAGCCTGCTACACATTAATTAATTGACGGCTTTGCCACTATGTTGACAAGACAAAGCACTTGTGCTCTATGATGGGTGTCCCATCAATCACTCAGGGAGGATCCTTGTGTAAGACCGGATCTTTGGAGAGCAATGCTGCTTAGAGCCTTTGGACTTCGGGATAGAAGGGTCTCGGCTACGAGATCTCCTCGGCGTATTAACTTCGGTGGCAGCACTTGGACCACGCCTAGTGCTGTTATAATATGCTGGTGTTCTTGTTGGGATGGGGGCCTTAGATAAGATGCCACGTGGTTCGGCAGAAGTGAGTCATGGGCCCCAGTGGGTCGTCCAAATGTTTCAACACGTAACAATTTTCACATTCAGGATTATCAATTTTGTCAGTCATCATGTCATTGTATCGGTTGATTCGGCAGAATGGACTAAATTGAAATAAAAATATATCCAATTACTGTCTTGAAAGGACAAACGCTTGGGACCAAATTGAAACGAGAATATAAGTTGGGTGATTAATACATTGTTTTTCAAGTGGATTGTTTTTGACATATTTTTATATACTAGTCTAGAATGGGGTTGATCAAAACTTTCGAATTGAACAGAACCAATTTGAATCGAGCAATTCTTCTTAAATTAAATACTCGAAAGGGTATTTGAATCGAGAATCGACGTGTTCGGTTCGGTTCTCGATTCTAGATTAAACACCAAACAATCGAATCTCCCTAATTTTTTATTTTAAATAAGTTAAATTATTTTATTTTTTTCTAAATAAATTTGCTAACTAATTAATTTAAGACTAAATGTTTAATTTTTGAATAAAAATCTGGAAGACTGATACAAAAAGTGTAACTTGTCCTTTTAACAACCATTTTACAAAATATTTTTTTGCCAAAAATGAAAAATATTCCGACCATATTATGGAAAGTAGGGACCCACCCCCACTGCCATGTTACAATCATACAATGTCAATCCAGCCAACATTACAAAATCACTAATGGAGCATTGTATGAATTTCGCCTAAATCCTACGCTAACTCCAGAAAATGCATACCCCAATCCAATAAATTCGACTCAAATCTAAGAACAAAACTCAAAGCAAGAAGACCTAGAAGAGAAAATTTGTATTTTGAGTTGCAAATTAAAGAGGTAAAAGAAAAAAGTTTGAAAATGTCTTGGCAGACTTATGTAGACGATCACTTGATGTGTGATATGGAGGGGAATCGCCTCAGTTCTGCTGCCATTATTGGCCAAGATGGTACAGTTTGGGCTCAAAGTGAAAATTTCCCTCAGGTCGTTCTTCTTCTTCTTCTTCTTCTTCTTCTTCTTCTTCTTCTTCTTCTTCTTCTTCTTCTTCTTCTTCTTCTTCTTCTTCTTCTTCTTCTTCTTCTTCTTCTTCTTCTTCTTCTTCTTCTTCTTCTTCTTCTTCTTCTTCTTCTTCTTCTTCTTCTTCTTCTTCTTCTTCTTCTTCTTCTTCTTCTTCTTCTTCTTCTTCTTCTTCTTCATACTTTTTTTTTGTTTTTGTTTTTGGGGAGTTTATTGAATTTTGGAACTCAATTTGCTTTTGTGGGTTTCTTATGAAATAGTGATTCTAGATTTAGATTAAGTATTCAATGAAGTCGTGGATTTTTCTTTTTTTAAATGAATTTAGATGTTTATCAATTCATGCTTATTTTACCTCAGTTATTTTTTCTACTACTTTATTAGTAATTTTTAGCTTTTTACTGGACCCTTGAATAATTATTTGGTGAAGTGATGATTCCATTTCCATCCAATTTGAAATTTACCGAATTCTATTTCAATTCTTATTTGTGTTCAGCATTTGGATTTATGTGGCGGTAGTAGTGTTTGCCATCGTGATAATGCGAAGCTCAGTTATTAAACCAAATGAATATCTTAACCTTTTCCAAATTCATTAGAAGTATAGAATTCTAATTTAAATGTTCATGTGCTCAATTTGTTTAATTATTTATTCTAATGAAATGATACAGGGGATATATCATTGGAAAATGCCGTGTGTACAGTACTGTACATGTACAGCCCTCACACAATCATGGGGCCTCTGATTATTTTAATCGTGGGCCCACCCCTTGTATGTGAGAAAGCTGTTAACCATGATGTCAAAATTGCTCTATTTGTAGCATTGCTCTATATCATTTGCTTCGCTCGTCTCTTGCCAAAGTATATGGTTAACTACACTGGTAAGCCCAATAATTATCGTCAAGATCTTGCAGAAACTGACTGCAGAACTGGAGACAGATTATGAGAATTTACGTGATAGCAATTCTGTCACCATTAGAAGACACAAGTAGTGTGCGAGTCGTAATTGGTGTGTAACAATAGGAAGAAGTAGAAAGTAAAAAAAATGGAAAGGGCAAAAGGAGATTGTGCTTTTATTTTTTGGGAAGGCAAAGGAGGGAAGCAATCAGAGATTAGAGTAAGGTTATATTTGCTGTCCAGACTGTGTAAATGATACCCTTGCCTTGATGCCCTTCACATCATTTTTTGCTTGTGACACGATATTTCCTTGACACTCCATTTATGTCTTGTAAGTTCTTTTTTTCTTTTTATAACATCTTAAACCTTCCTCCTCCCAAAGATTAAAAACAGGAAGAAAAAAAATGTATTTCACTGGTGAATAAGCACACCGATTGTACAATAACCTCTGTGACTCTTCGGTTTTTATCTGAATTCATTATTACCTTCACTTTATGTATGACCGATATCCGTTTTTGATGGCCTTGTAGTTTAAACCAGAAGAAATAGAAGCCATTATGGAAGATTTTAATGAACCAGGAAAACTTGCTCCTACAGGGCTATATCTTGGTGGAACAAAATAGATGGTGATTCAAGGGGAGCCAGGAGCCGTTATAAGAGGAAAAAAGGTAATGTTCTGATGTAAAATGTGGTTATTAGAATCTATTGATAAATGATTTGGAAACTTTATTGGTTTTCAGTTTTTCTTAAATTTGTTGCTTGCGACAGTTTTTGCGGTCGTTTTGTTCACGTGCAAGTTCAATTCCTACAACTTTTGTTTTTGATGATGTTGGTCATGGCTGTGATATAAATAACTTCTACTCAATAATCTACTATAACAAAGTTACAAAGAGGTGATTCCAATGGAATTTTTTTTTTTCAGAAGTCCTGAGAAACATTCCAAGGTTTTTCCTTCTTTTTTTTTTTTTTTTAGCAGCCTTTTGATTTCATTGCTGGACAGCCTTTAGATAGTTATGTGTAAATAAGGATTCAGGTTATATGAAGTTTGACGTTGACTATTAACCTAATGCAATGATGTGCAAGTCCTCTCAAGGTTCTATACTTCAAGAAAATTGAGGACGAAAGAAGAAACAACAATATCTGTGCAGTTTTGTTAGTGTATGGGTGTTTTAAAAATCTGTTGTTGGGTCCAGATTATTAGCTCACACCTTAAAGGGGCTTCTAAGTCCAAATTTCATCCCCAAACATTGCTGTGATAAATTGATCGTTGGTCTGTAGTTCTCATGTGGTTCAACTTTCTTTTCTTTTTAGGGTCCCGGTGGTATTACTGTCAAGAAGACCAACCAAGCATTGCTCATTGGAATATACGACGAGCCTATGACGCCTGGCCAATGCAATATAGTAGTCGAGAGGCTTGGTGATTATCTGACAGAACAGGGTCTGTAGTCATGTTCGTTCGCTGGTTTCTCGCGTATAATTTACTTTAGCCCCTTGAAAATCGAACCCTATTTTCCCTCTGTAAGAATTCTCAACTTGTTAAGCTGAAATATTGCATTCAATGTAGTAGTATTTCATAACTATCTTATTTATTTAATTTCCCGTTCGTACAATTGTTGGTCGAGCTGATAGCAGGATAAACAGAAGTACCCATTATCATAAACGATATGCATGAACTACCACAGAGGTGCACTTCAGATAGGCTTCATATAATAACGACTCGGTCGATGTATTCTTATCCTAGTACAGAAATGATAGTTCCATAAACAGATTTAACATAGCATGTATTGAATATCACAAACTATCCAATAATCGAATTCGTGCAGTATTAAGTAAACACAAAGTAGCAGCATGTAATTGACGTTGCATAGTTAACAAGTTTAATGTGTTTGCTTTCAGATTTAAAGCACAATATTTAACATGTACAACTATATTTGTACATCTATATATCACCTAGAAGGGTCAACTTAGGGGTCAACATGGACTAAAATACCAAAAGAGAGTTTCCATGGATTGGGAGTGGGGTGTTCGATAGACATATTGGAAGAAATTGTGAGGAATTGGTAATGATGCGAAAAAAAAAATTCTAAAGTCTATAGATGTATGATTGAAATTAATATTTAATTTTGGTTGAATTTATGAATTCTTATACAAGTGGATTAAATGAATAAAATTCTCTATAATAATAATTTAGGACAATGCTATTCAAACACTCTTCTTTGTATATCGTTGTTTGTCAACAATTGATTGGATGAAAATTTTGTCCAAATTTTAAATTGTTTTATAGTGTATTGTCACGGACGACACAGTGTAAAACGATGTATATCAAAGCATATTCAAGAATTAATACATTTTAATTAGCGCATCGTCGCTTGTGGCTGCAGAAATCCAACTCGATTTGAACTCGGTTTCCCTTTCATTTCTCCAACAACGCAATATATCTAGAAAGAATAAAATATTATATAATCAAAACAGTGGAAAATGGGAATCCCGTCAGAATTGAGGGACGCATGGACAAATCGCAACAGATCTTTGTTGATCGCATCACCAATTGAAGATGAGAAAATTCTCCGGTCAAGGCAATGCACTCAAGGTTTCAAATATTTTCGGGTCTTCTTTCATCGTTTGTAATTTTAATTTTTATTGTATTTTCCACATGGTTTCTTGAGAAAATTGATTAAAAAAAAATAAATTGATTTCCTTTCTACTGAATTGATGTGTTGCACAGTGGGTTGGTTCGATAAATTTGGGTTTCTCTCTCGTTTTACAATTTTTATGGCATTTCTGATATAGGTTTTTGAGAAATTTTACTAAAGAGACAAAAATAATTTATTTCTATTTCACTGATAAATTGCACGATTTTTAATTTGATAAAATAGGGTTTCACTTTTTAATTAATTGTTCTTTATGAAATTATTGTGTTATGTACAATTTGAACATATATTGTTAAATTTCTCGAAGGGATTTATTTTGCGAATAATTAAAGTTGATTTTGAATGAAATTATAGAATCAACTGACACTAGAATGTAGCTCGAATTTTATTTGGATTGCAGAAGGGGTGCGTGCTGGAGCAAAAGCTGCTGCAATTGCAAGTGTCGCCAGCGCTGTGCCCACTGTATGCAATTTTCCTTCATTTTATTTGTTATTGTGTTTAGTTTCTGGATTTTGTCGTAAAATTAGAGTTACTCTCAAATAAGTAACTTTTTTTTTTTTTTTTTTTTTTTTAAAGTTGAGAAAAAAGTAATGTATCTAAACATATTTTGAAACTAAAAATGACTTTTACTTTTCTATAAGCTTAGCCAAACATGCTCAGTCAGACACAACTGACTCTATAATAGAATAACCAACTACGCCTATCATAGAGCATTACAACACGCAGGTGCACACACCCTGATGCACTTGTGTCTGCCTTACAAAGTATTTGCTTACGCACACGAGAGTTGGTAAAATCAGATGATTTGCCAATATGATCCTTCTATTTTGGTGATGGAGGTGTGATCTGCATGTTAAACGAGTTTATACATAGCCTGCCTTTCTGGAACTATGTTTCCTGCAATTTGGTGCTAGCGTCTTAATTGTTCATCGCAAATACTATGAAAAAGGTATTAGTTAAAGTTTCTTTTAAGAAGTTTTGCGGGGAAAATAAAAACAGTAGGTTTCTGCATAATGCTTCATGCAGGGGAAATGCTTTCCATGTTCTCTCTCTCGTTTCCTTATTTGCTTTTCCTTATTTCTGGTTCTAACTTCTAACCAAGAATGATAATTCTGGATTAATCCTTCCCATAACATGCAATACGTTCTCAATTCTCAACTGGTCAACCATTAATCTAGAGAAATTTTATTGGGAGATGGACTTCAGGACAGTATGTGAATGTCAGTTAACATTCACTGCCATAGAGCATGTTTTCTAAGCTTAAAAAACAGTCAAAGATAGTGTTACTCTCTTGTATTAAAGCATGTTGGATAATTACTAGTTTCTTACATTTAAGTAAGAAATTATTGTAAAACTTATTTGCATATAATGAAGCTATTTAAGCTAGGCCAAACATGCTCAACTTATGAAATGTGTACAAGATGTGTATGCTTTGGTTCTAGCAAACGAAGCCTTTATTTTCGATGATTTTCTCATGTTGGATTGTACCGTAAAATCTCGGCAATCACTCAAGTAAATTGCATCATACATTTTACAATTTCAGATGGGCTCTATTATGAATTTTATTTTCTTTTATGTTTTTGGGAGTAAGACAAACTAATGCTACTCGCCTTTCCTTTCCTCATTGACAAATGAGGAGAGCCTTTTCCTTTTATATAATCAACAAATTCCCCTGATTGCAGTTGATTGTCTGTCGAACGGTACCTTGGGCAAAGGCAAATCTCAATTATACTGCTCAGGCACTCATTATCTCTGCCGGTAAGTAAGAATTTGATTTGTATTAAATATTTCGTAATATATGAAACTTAGCTTTATATTGACTGTTGAAGAATTCCTTCTTTGTCATTAACCATTGGAAGCCTATAACTATTTGCTGACATTTCTTAAATAAATTATGTTTACTTGAATTGAAGATTAAACTGAAAAATCTGAGAATGTGAAAACAAGGAAGAACTAGCACAAGTATGAAAATGTAAGGTACAGATTTTGCAGTGGCAGACTGGTCTTCCTACAATAATCCATTTTTCATATACTCATGCACAGCCTCTGATCCTACTTGCATTAAGTTAAATTGTTGGGTTATGTCAAAAACTTCTTTTTAGTTTTGGGGAAAAGGGAGGTAGGGGGTGTTGGAATATATTTGTTGTCAAGCAAATCACGTTATTCTATAGAGGGCTGTTTGGCTTCTCCCCCGTCCTTAATAGATAACGCTACAAGTACCTGAATTTATTATTATTATTATTATTATTATTATTATTATTTTATTTATTATTTTATGTTTCTTCATGTTTTTAATATATTTAAGATGAATTTGAGTGCCTAATTTGTTTATTGATCACCGACTCTGTTACACTCTTTGGCATGGATAATTTTACCATAAGCTTGCCTTGAGGTGTAAAGGTGGACCAGTTCACGGCTCTTGCTTGGCATGCCTAGTGTGGGACTACTCTCCAATCCCACAGCCATGCAGGCTATTTCTATTTTTCATTTTGAAAGTTAACTAAAAATGGTGGGCCTGTCTGGACCGATGTGGGGGCATTTCATGCCTTCTCAAATGAAGGGATTGCGCTAGGCCTCTGCCCTGACAGTCCATCTCACCTGTTTTACACCTCTAAATGCACTCTTTTCTTTTCTAAGTTTTAACCTCTTAAGGATTCGTTTTGGGTGAGATGCGTGTTTAGTAACAAGCTGTGTCCATTTTGTTTTAGGTGTCCAAGTTTAAGAATACTGATATGCTTTTCTTCCCGTTCTCCAGCATCAATTGCAGCATACTTCATCACAGCAGATAAAACCATCCTGGAATGCGCTAGGAGAAATGCACAATACGATAGATCGTCTTAAGTTGTTGGATCTTGTGATGTACTCGCACCTTGTACTACTTTGTTGCACACCATAATCTGTGTTTTGACAAGACATTCTCAATTTTGATGAGATCTTTTGCTGGCATATTTATCGTGCAGTCTCTCCTCATCGTAGCACCTAATGCATAACTGTGAGAGAGTTCCGAGTAAAAATATAAGTGTGTTTCTGCCCCATGTTAATTGCCTAAACGTGTAGCGAAAATAGTAACTCAAAATTCTTTGGATAATTATATAAGAACCAATCAGATCATATAAACGATGATGCAGAATCTCTTAAGGAAAATATAGTCTTTTCTCGTGCATTCATAAACTCAAACCATCCTTCCCATGGCCAAAAATCCATTCCTACCCTTAAAACTGGGTTCATACGTAATGTTAATAATTCCATCAAGCTCCTTATCTTTTACATCAAATCATCTTGCTTGTACTCTGTCCGCCAGGTGTTAGATGAATTACCTCGAGTAACTTTTCTGGGTGCAACTACGTTATTTCCGGGTATGTAAAAGATGGGCTCGTTGAGGAATCTTTTCATTTTATTAGAAAAAACTATTTTTTCCTAACGAAAGTCCAGATGAGCATTATGCTTGTATGGTCGGTCTCTTAGGACGTGCAGGAAGTTTGAATCAAGCTCTTGAATATATAAAGCAAATGTCTGAAAAGCCTGAGTATGAGGTTTGGGCAGCTTTGCTTAGTTCTTGTAGACTGCACGGTGATGTGGGGCTAGCTAACATAGCTGCCAACAAGCCTTTCAATGTAAATTGCTAAGATTTGGGCCTGGAGCATATGTTCCATTATCCAATACATTAGCCGAGGCTGGAAGATGGGATAGTGTGAGTAAACTCAGGGAGTAGATGAAGGTAAGGGGAATACTGAAAGGTACTGGCTTCACTTGGGTCGGAACTGATGCTGGTTTAGAAGCTTTCCATGTAGGGCAGCAGTAATGGAATTAAAACATAATTTTTTTGCATAGAATTAAAATTCTCAACAATATTATGACAGTAATATCATTCGAATATAATTTTTTGCATAGGTTCTTATTTCTTCTGATCAATAAATATTACAACTGTTAGCAGAAAAATATTAACCAAGACCCATAAGGTTTTTTACTATAAAAATTTCCTCATGAATTTGTGTGAAGTTGTGCAATTATATTTCTTTTCTTGTTTCAATTGCACCTCAGAAAATATTCCCTAAGAAAATGAAAATAAGTTTCAAGTTTAATACAAAAGAAATCCTCATAATGCATACCGATAGATGGCATCAGCAACTCCATCTTCATCATTGCTGATACCAATCACATTCGCTACTGCTTTAGGCTTCTCATATCCGTTACTCAGAGCAACACCGAGAGAAGCCAGGTCGAGCATCTCAACATCATTTTCCCCATCACCAATGGCCATGACCTTATAACAATCATTATCAATGAACTAGCAGCCCAATTCCAGAAATGTGCACGCCAATGGTCATAGTATTTATCAGTTTCATTTACTTCTACAGCTAGAAGTTATGTAAAAAGAAGTTGGGGAAGCCAAGAAAGATTTGGCTTAGATGGTTGTATATGAGAGGGTCGATATTCAGTGGGTAAATAGAGAATTAATTGGCAAATACACGAAAACCTTTAAAATGCAAATTTTGAACCTTTGTGCAAATTGTGTTGATAAGATTTGGAGGAACATTTGGCTAAGGTTAAAAGTTACTTTTAAGTGACTTCTTATGCCAAAAACGTTTCTGCTTTTTTAGCAGCTACATTTCAGGGGAGATTTTTAGTTCAAACTCTTAGGACTCATGTGGTTTGTGTTTTAGAGTTCAATTTTAAATTTTGAGTTCATTTTCAGTTTTCTGTTTTAAGGATATATATTAAAATTGCTAAAATGGCGTTTGGTTTGTTATTTTGAAAAGTTGTTTCTTAAAACTAAAAATCAGAAAAAAAAAAAAAAAATTGGTTAGGATTTTGAGAATTTTTTTATGACATTTTTTCCATGAAATTTAATTATTCGGCAAAAAAAAAAATGTAATATATTATTAATTAATATATACACTCTAAGTTGGTGAATCTTGTTATATTAATGAAAAACAAATAAAATTGAGTTTGCAAAACCTAAGAAATAAAAAATAAAAATCAATGACGTGGACAGAGAATTTTTATTTGTGTTCAATCTAATTTTTAATTTTTAAAATTTTTTTTTTTATGTAAATAACCATTAAGAACTTGATTTTTTTCTAGAATTTTTAGAATTTATCAAATTTTTATTCTTGTTTCCCATGTTTTGAGTGTTTTCAGTGTACATCAAAAATGCATTTTGAGTTTTATGTTATAAATTTAACTCTGTTTTAGTAAAAGCATTTTAAAAAAAAAAAAAGATCAAACAAGTTTTGTGTGTTTTGCAAAACTGAAATCAGCAAAGCAAACACACGCTTACTTTTTCATTAGCAAGTCTTTACTTATTTCCCAAACAAGGTACTTTTCCCTTTCCCTTAAAGAAGATCTGCTAAGAGCCTTGAGACATACCTCGTCTGGAGTAATACGCAAATGATCAAAAAGCATTCTTACGCCAATTCCTTTTGAAGTCCCAAAAGGAACAATTTCAAGCATATCTGGTACAGCTTGGACAAGAGATGCATGATCCCCAGTTGCTTCTGCCCAAAGTGCGCGCAGAGTAGTAGAAACTCCCTGAGCAGTGTCTAAGAAGATATGCATCTACAATTTCAAGTGGCAAGCCAAGATGAGAAATATTGGACAAGAAACAGCTATAAACTATGTCTATTTGAAGAGGTTTATAAACAGAAATCCTACATCATGCGGCGATTAAGATTGATGAGACACAATCAAAAGAGAAGAAGGATCCACACTAGGATTTATGGCCTTCTGGACTAGCAGGTCATCTGCAGAGTAAGGTAAAGTTCGCATTAGGTGTTTTTGTCGTGTAAAGTTCATCTTGACATGCATGAATTAATTAAAGCATCCACATTGATTTTTTGGCCCCCCTCATTCTGAGCGTATTTCTGAATCAGGAAGAACAAGACATTGTAATCTATATTTCCCTGTAGATTACTAAGCAGATTAACAGCTAAGACAAAATACACATCCTCAACTTTTCTCCATGTCATCTCCAATAATGAGCGGTAAGCAGGACATGAGCATCAGTCTAATCCAACTGTTTGCATATTCCAATTATAGATCCAATAAAGAGTTTTGGACATTTATGCATCAAGCAAATAAATGTGGATTGCATTAAGGATTTGGGCTGAAGTAACCATGCAACGAATGTGCAACAATGCTAGTCAATCAAGTTAAAACTATGCACTAAAGGCTAAGAACATCCAGCTAGAACAGATTACCAGACCATTTTGTCCATCTCCAGCGTGTTTATCTAAGCTTAAAATACTTTTATTTTGGCAACGGGCTTGAGATTTTAATTCTTACTTCTCAAAAAAGGAATTTTCACATTTTTTAGCTTAGCCAAAAAATGCTCAGAGTCTTTCGTCCTCCCACACACACTCCCATTACCCAACACCAGCAATGATCAATGATCCTTTATGCTGATAATAATGTATCTAGCAGAGTTCTGAAAACACACCTGGATGTCTATGCCTGCCAATAGCTTCTCAACTGAAGGTATGATCTCTGCCTGTCAAAAATCCATAGCAAACACATTTTCAAGAAACCCGATATGGGGGCCTATTTAAAGAAATGAGCGAGACAAGTGAGTAATGAGGCACCTTTGGCTCATGATACGCAGTATGAAGCAAGTCCACAAGAGGGTGTTCAAACAATGTTAAGCAACGATCTTCACTAAAGGCAATGGGAGGAACTTTATGCTTGAGAGAGTAGATAAGTGCCTGCAATGTACAGAATATAGCTACTTAAACTTCTTTACTTGGAAGAGTTCAAATATAATTTGATGTATTTTCAGTGTCTAGTGCAATCAACTCTACATTATGATTAGCTCTAAACCAAATATGTAAAAGCATGCTCGTGTTCTTGAAAAATCAGTCTAAACGTGACTAAGACGGGTAATGTTACAAGCACAGAGCAAAAGGTACTTACTTCTCTGCAAACATTTGGATCTAAATTCCTTCTAACTTGTGAAGATATGGTTCACCTAACCCCACCACCTAATGTTGTGAGTTGATGGGAGTGAGGTTGACACAATAAGGTCTTCCCTTCCTTTGGCAGAGGCATGGTCTTTCTTCCTACCCCTTCATTATGTACACTCTACCATTTTCAAATAAAGAGAGGGCAGCTCACGTTTTTGAGAAGACCCAGCAGAAGGTGGAGCTCTCGTTTTTCATAGAAGGGTGGTGGTTCTTCATTGGTTTTTTCCCCTCTCTCTTTGGAAGGCAATTGGCATAGCATGGGGCTGTTCCTGAGCCTGAAAAACTGCCATAAGAGGTGAAGAAGAAGCTGCCGGCAGAAGAAGAAGAAGCTGGACAGATTCCGGCTGAAGAGGGGTTGTATTCTTCCACTTTTATTTTCTTGTTTTTGCCTTGAATCTTGTTTGTTGATCGTTGTTTTGGTAGTTTGAACTCCTAGGATCCCCAACAAACTGGTATCAGAGCTAGGAGGAGTGATATTAGTCCAAAAATCGATCAAAAACCAGCAAGAAATCACCATTTCCACATTCTAACCGAATCTGAAAAACTTGATTTCCGGCCAACCGATTGACTTTCCGGCGAAATGGACCATGGAACCATGACCAGCAGGAGGAGGCGCACCCTGTGGTGGGGCGCGTGACCGGTGGCGGCGGCTCCGACGGCGGCTCCGGCGAGCTTTTTTCGGGCAGTTTACTCATTTTGACGTCCTGAACGCACTGATGTCGTTTGTTTTTTGTTTCAGATTTTACAGAAAAAGTTGGACGATTTTGCCCCTACCTTGACGTCTACGGCAATTTGGTTCAGAAACTTGGTGGTATATTTACTGTTTGTCAACAGTAGTTTGGTAAGATTATTCCAAACTCTCCGTTAGGTTAGGTTTGGTATCCTTACCGGTTTATGCATGATTATTGCTTGGTTGCCTATTTGTGAATTCCGTTGATTGAATTCTTGTGATTAATTTGTAACCTGGAAGCATATTTACTTGCATTATA